CTGTAGTTGGTGTGTTATTACACACATAGCTGTTAGCACTGCTCCTCCATGGGGACACCCATATAAAGGACTGTCATTTCCAAAGGTCAGGAGTGAGCCCTGCACGCAAGTGTTGTCCCGACACTTAGTCTGGAGGAAAGAAAAAAGAAAAAAAACCTGCTTGCCCGTACTCTTTGTCTGTCTGTCTGCAGTGGGCATGACTACTGAGGCCAGTGTCTTGGGTGTCCTTTCTGTTTGTTTTTTTTCCCTCCTCCTCCTCTCTTCTATCCTGTCCCTTCTGTTGTACCGGAAGTCAGTATGTGCAGCTTATGTGTTTGCAGCCAAGGGAGAGGCTGCAGTTACTTCTTGGTATGTCTGTGTGCTCTGGAATACCAAAGGCTAAATGTGATACAGCAGTTTTTAAGCGGGCATTATTATACTCATTAGCACCATGACTGTGATGAGTGCAAATAGTTCCGACTTACTCACTGATGAGTAATCTACCTTTCAACATGGTGTTTTACATGCTTAATGGGCAGGACAGGGGCTAAAAAGGGCACTTATGCATCAGCTTGACAGATTTTCTTCATGTATAATTTGCTGCTTTTTCAGACACTTTTTTTTTTTTTTTTGCTGCAAAATATATAATGTGGTGAGGGCAGTTGACTCAGTCATCTGGCACTTACTCCCTATAATTCAATCTTATTTCTTATTTTATCACCTTATTTCCAAAGGTTTACAGAATTTTCGTTCTTTTGTCTCCCCAAACTGTCTTTATTATTATTATTTTTTTTCAAAAACACTAAACACTGGATAAACATTTACAGTTACTCAGTTGCTGAAGTTGAAGTTTCATCTCTTACTGTATTTCTGCAGAATAATATTGTGTCTGAACTTTTCTGGAAAAACATTTGTCAGTTTTAGTTAAGTTTGGGTAATGTTAGCCAACCATCCTGATAAAAAATATTAAGAATTAAAGATCGTAAGGATCCAGAAAGATTTGTAACCATTACTGGGTAGTATTTATTAGAGGTGGGAATCACCATACATCCCACAATACGATATTATCACAATACTTAATGCACGATACGATATTATTGCAATTTTTTAAAATATTTTGTGATATTCAGATTCTGTACATAAAGGTAAACTTTATCAATATTCATTTTATCTAATATCAAAGTCTCGCACTCAGTCTCTCATTTCAGTCAGTTTTATTGTTGACAAACTGAACGGTTTGTATTACAGTCTAGTCCAACTTAACTGAATGCAACCATCTGGTACAATTATAGCTATTCTGAACTATGCAATTGATGAAAACTATGCAGCCCATTCAGCAACTGAAGAATTTGAAAGTAAATTAAAACAAAATATAATTTTACATTAAATAAAAAAGTTTTAAACTTAATTAAAATAAAACATGTCTTAAATTAAAATAAGTAAACTGTCATGTTTATTGCTGCCAAAAAAAACAGTTAAACACATTTGGACAGTGAAGGAATGTCAGGATTCTTGCTCAGAAAAAGGAGCTGATCAACATGCTCTGAAGTCAGAGTTTTGTTACAAAAACTTTTTTTGTAACAAAATATCGATTTCTGCTGTCCCTGTATCGATACATTATTAGCAAACAAAATATCACGATACTACACAGTATCGATTTTTTTTTCCCCCCACCCCTAGTATTTATGTAGCTGTCATGAGTATTTCTGTAGCAGAATTGGTTGACGCTGCACACCTGTTGAGATGTTTTAGCAATATGCAGAAACCGTACTTGTTATGTTACCGTTTCCAAAGATCCGGTTGAACAGATTAGGTATGAAATCAGCGTTTCCAAGCTGGCATATTTGATTTCTATGTTCTCTGTGTCTCCTTTGACAACACTAAAGTTTAATTTAATAACTTCAACAAGATCAAAGCTTGTCCATACAAACTGAAAGCTTGTTGGGAGCCTCAATTTGGAACATGCTGTCATGCCACTGCCTATTTTCCGGTCCTGTGGTGTCTCGACAGTAGCAAGAGAGTACGAGAGTGAAACGTGAACTAGTCTTCTGTGGGTATAGCGGCTTCCCTCTATCCCACATTTATTACCTCTAAAAATACAAAGTATTTTCTAAAAAGAGCCTGGCTCTTTTTCCATCCAACCACGTCAGGTGAATTTACACCATGATAGTTTATGTGTCACTGACAAAAATGTTTTCATTTATTAGTTGTTTTTCCTTTTCTTTTCTTTTTTTTTTTTCTTTTAAGTCTATTTGAATCCTTTAGTCAGTGGGACCCTTTGCCTTGATCTTTTTCAGTCCCTAAATCCATGTATATATCATGTGTTAACCATATGCAAATGAACAAACTTGAGGTCAGGAGGGTCTGTGGAGACATTGTTGGAGTTCTCGCTATACCATGTGGTGTGGCTTTGAGCATTATGTGAAGTAAAACATTGGGAGGAAAAAGAACTGCAGCAGTTTTCATACATCATTGTCCTTTTAAACTCTTGATATGGGAACCCCCCCCATTATTTAGATGAGGCTAAATGCTAATAAGCTCAGTGTCTACTTGAGCTATGCTCTGCTGCCAGGAGGCCTAATTGTGTCACCCATTAAAAGTCTTGGCATCTTTTTAAAATTGGAGGCCTGGGGAGCGTGGTGTTTCTTTTTCCATTTTTTCCTGTCATGCATCTTTCTCTTGAGGAGAAAATGCAGCCTGGCTACATCTTCTGTGATATGATTCTCATTTACATAAAGCCTAGCTAATCAACTTTCACAACAACAGTGAGGTAATGTCTAGGCAGGTCTTTCAGGAAAGCACAACTAGAACATGTCCAATTCTATAAGAGGCAACTAATCAATAGAGTCTATATAAAATGCTTGTCATTCCCAGAGTCTTTTGGCAGGATTGACAAGTGGCCTCATAGGTTTTATTTTTCATGAGTTTCCGTAGATGTTTTCCTATATCAAAGTACAGGTTACTGTATGGGTCAAATACAACTAAAAACTCAATTTCAGCTGTGTGTATAAATAGCTTGGAGATTTATGGAAATACTCATCATTGGACAATCTCTGTGATTGTGCTCTTGGTCTCAGTGACACATTGAGTATGTGGTTGACGGGGAGGGGCATGTCTCGAAGTAGGCAAAGGCCTACCGATATATTTATTTTTCTCCTGTGAGCCTTTTGAGCAAGCTCTCCTCGTCAATCTTGACCTGTCAAAGAGGGCCAGAGGTGGGAGCTGCCATCTCTCTCTCACAGGGGCCACTGTGTACATGGGGACCCCAGGGTCAGGGCCTGGATGCTCCTTTAGTAACTGTTGTGAAATCACAACTCTCTGGTGGGAGTAGTCCTCTCATTCTGCTCCCGCAATGGGGCAGCACCCTGATTCAATGCCTTTTTAAAAACAATGTTTACTCCTGGTTTAGCAATTATTTCATAGGGCTCGGAACACTCAAGTTATTCAGCTCAATATCTATTTGTACCTGGTTGAGTTCTTCCATCTTCACTTACCTCAACCCTTCTTTTTAAACATCAGCTGTCAGTCCTCTTGGCTGACAGCTGGGGTAGTTTTCACCTTGTACAGAAACCTGTACATGTGGCTTCAGAGAAGAGAAGAAAATAACCCAATCAAACCAAGCTTGTACATGTGCTCTTCCATCTGACACGCGTGTGTTTCTGATCTTACAGTTTTTCTGGAAAAGGAGAATGTTTCCTGTTTGAACAGACTGGTGGGTTCACCAAGGAGTCGGGGGGGCTCGGGTTGCTCAGCCAACGTCTGGTTCTGCTGAAGCAGATTCCCCACATCTCCATCAAATGGCAGTCCTGTTTTGGCATGACTCTGAAAACTGACCCCGGTAGTCATTGATGTCTTGGGCTCTGTAGATGAACTGAGGCTGAAGCACTTTGTTTTGTTCTCCTCCAATTTAAAAGTGGCAATGGATGCATCTTGTAAAATTGCTCTTTTATTGGATGTTCATTTGATTCTTTTAACTTGAGATAAAAAGTCTTTTACAACGACTTAAAGCCGGAATATACAGACCTACTTGAAAACTGATGATGAATATTTGTTTATCCTCTCATTAGTTTAACTGCTTCTGCCCACCGAGGTATTCTTTTTCTGATGGCACACCTGGACAGCGTGCACACAGATGTGCAGCAGTTCATGTAGACTTGCGCATGTTTTTACTTCTTGTTAAAGTCTCTGAGCGCAGCAACAGTGTGTTGAGGAGGGTCGTCCTTTGACATGAGCAGTAGGAAATCTTGTGTTGATGTTCTTGTACTTGAAATGTGATATCGTAGATGGGTAGGAGACTGTGTGTGTGTGCGCGTGTGTGTGTGTCTGTCCTGCCATGTCCAGACTGGTTCCTGTCTTGCTAATAAAAGAGATCTCTTTTTAGTTTTGGATACTGATCTCCCCACACAAGTTTAAAGTTCTCATTCACGGTTCACACTGCATTTGCCCCTTAATGTCTCACAGCAGGCCCTCAGTCCCAGGCCGTGATTCATGGAGTGACAGGTCTGCCTCTGGCTGCCATAAGGGCCCAATCAGACAAGGTTTACATGCAGACAAAAACGTGTTGGACCAGCACTTGGATGCATGCATCTAACCCCCGATTGAATATAGTTTGTCAATGACATTTTCTCTATGTGGCATGATTAAATTAGATCCTACATGTAGAAATCATGGTAGTATCATTCTTTGTCATGGTGCATTCTTTTTTTTTTATTTTTTTTTTTATTTTTATTAAGCTTTCTGCTCAATCATTTGTATACTTTTTGCTCCTTGTACATCAGCTGCACGTGTATCCTATACTCGGCCTGTTTTTTCACGAGGTGTGAATTTTTGTTTTGCCGTATGAAGACAGAAATGCCTGTGAGAGTTGTCATGCAGAGTTATGGAGGCAAGAATTTATCCTAAGAATTGTTTTGATTGCAAATGCAGAATTATAGCGGTCCTCCCTCCATTTCCCTATCCCCCCCCCCCGTCGCGTAGAATTGTTTTCCAATGCATTCATTGCTTTGTATGCTTTGTTTTAGTGTTTTCGGGCACTGTGCTGTAAAGGACCCCCACCGCCGAGACCAGAGTATGATGTGGTGTGCATTGGCCTGACAGGTGCTGGAAAGACCAGCTTGCTCTCACGCCTCTGTAGTGAGAGCACTGATGGCATAGTTCCTACAACAGGTATGTGCTTATAAGACATGGATCAGTGGAAAAGAAGGCATAAAAAATTAAGCATGCACCCTCTGCTGTTGTACCTATCTCCCTTCGCTCACATGTGTTCTTGCAATCTTTCTCCTTTTTAGTCCTTTGTGATTTGAATCTGAAGGACATCATGTTCTTGAAACAGATAGATAGTACTATCCAGGTATTAGTTTTCCAATAGAGGAAGGACTTTTTCCAGTCCCAGTGTTTGTGCCAGAATAGATGTCAGGATGTCACCTGCCAATACTTGTGTTTTTTTCTTCTTCAATCAAGTGGCAGGCTGGTGTTATGTCCAGAATAGAAGGAGTTTTCAGGGTTTGCACATCATTCTTGTGGTAGTCAGCACTCTGCTTTCCATATATGCAATCCCTCAAGAACCCTGACATTCCTGTCTCCTTCGCGGGCTTTGACAGCAGCAGTGTTGAGCTGTTGCAGAAGTCCCACTTTAGATTTACTCTTTTTCCAGGAGAAGCTAAATATAACGTAATTCCCAAATGTGCTGCCTGTAACAGTTAGTTTGCATTTTTCTGTGTCAGGGGGTGTGTTAGGTGAGTGAATAGCTCTCTGCGCCTGCTGATGAGTAAGCCTTAATAGATAAATTAGAAAATTAGTGTTCATCTCTGAAAGCAGATTTAGCTGTCAGCACTGTCCATCTGCCAAATGTACAGAGGGAAGAACAGGAAGGCCAATAAAGGGGGAACTCTCCTGCTAATATTCTTACTTCCTGCTTTATAATTTTGCACTGTTGTAATGTACATAGTGATTAATTTAGATGCTTGTAAAATCATAATCTGCTTTCAAATCTCTCCTCCTATTTGTAAATGTTGTCAGGAAATGAATTCCCACCAAGACAAGTTAGCATAGTTTGAGCAACATTAAGTTTGCCCTTTAGTGGGTTTCTCCACTATTTCCCGTACGCAGCCGCATAAACAAACCACATAATACACGATCGTACTTAGTTGTATCCTCCGCTAACCCCAACATAGAACAAAACACTTTTCTGTTTAGCTCTTCTTGTTTTTCTGTTTTTCTAAAACTGGACCACACAAAGTGTTTTTCTTTCATGTTTATAACACAAATATGTTGTCAGTCCTGTGTGTGTTCACCAGCTGGTTTGGAAAAGGTACACCAAATATCCCGGGGAAACCTAATGATAAAATTGATTTCTTTTTCTTTCCTTTTTTTTCTTTCTTTCTTTAAAGAAAAAAAAAATCCACTTTCTCACTATTGAAAAGTAAATGGAGCCAGCATTCCTAAAAGCTGACTCTCATCACTCCTAGCATGTGCTGGACACACACACACTGACATGGAGGGAAGTACAATTATTTTTTTTAGGTGATTACAATGATGGATTTTCATTGTTTTCTTTCCTCTCAGGTTTCAGCATCAAAGCAGTACCGTTTCCAAATGCCATCTTGAATGTAAAAGAACTTGGAGGTAAGAAGTAAATGCAGGAATTCAAGTTTGTAACGTCTGTATTAGATGAAACGGAGTGACCCAGCAATGAAATGCTGTGGGCCATCGTAGACATTAACAGGTTAACTGGCCCCTGTAACAGTAACTGCATCATGTGATTATTGGGATTTTCTGTTTTCTTTGTATTACTGTAGGGTCTTTACCTTACAATATAAAGTGGGCAACGGTTATTGTGCCATAATGAATGTTTTCTTTTTTGAAATCCGTACTTTATGATCTGTTTACCCACCAAACTATGACCAGCTTCTTTTTCCAATGACATCATTGGAATATTTTGTTCCTCAATTACAAAGCACTCATATGTTGCACAGGTATACAAAAGTCCATATGTGACCTGTTAGATATATAGTTTAATGGTTTGTCTGTCTTTAATCTGTATTCACCCCATCTCTTCAATTGAAATTTACACAAGCGGGCACAAACATCAAGAATGGGGAAAAATGTTTCTTTTTGTGTCCTGTAGCATGACATCTTTCAGACACAGGCGTGTGTGTGTATAGATGTCAGATGTGTTAGTGTGTTTGTTTGTTGGTGTGTTTTAAATTTCCAATGCTGAACAACGTGCACCGTATTATTCCTGGAAATGTACAACCCTCGAGGAAGCTATTAAGTTGAGATGAGGAAACCTGAGGTGGAGGATGGGATAAATAAACAGAGCTAATGCAATCGAAGTCCTTAAAGAGAGCCTTGAGAAATAAAAGGAATAGATTGTTTTGTAATTTCAGTTTCCTGTGCATGACAGGTGCAGTGCATATTTTCAAGGATCACCCAACTTAGGCGTCTGAAAAGATGAAGCACACACACTCACACAAATGCAAAAAGAGGCACTGGGGGGGGCCCCCCACGGGGGGGGTTCCCAATTTTGGCCGGACGGCTTTGGGTTTTTTTTTTTTTTTTTTTTTTTGGTTTTTTTTTCCCCCCCAAAAGAGGTTTTTCTGGATTGGGTCAAAGCCAGTCTGGTGGTAAGAGTGGTAACATGATTGTGGTTGGAAAAACACTGGTCCCACGGATGACACACTTGATTTAGAGACGTTAGTATAGGCTGCCACCACAGAAAAGCGTGATGAAATCTGTTCTCTCTTTCTCTTAGCCCTCCTGCCTGAACACTTACTCCCCTGCTCCTTTCCTTGTAAATACACAGAGCACAGGCAGTTGAGTGATTTATGTTGCCATCCGATATGGATGTATTGGAGACGGTGAAAACAAGCACATGTTTTGATGCCTCTACTAACTACCTCCTTCTTTTTTTTTTTTTTTTTTTTTTTTTTTTTTTTGAGGATATTGGATATTGTGTGTGAGAAAAGGTGTTGATTTGCAGCCATTATGTTTTCCCTGCACAGGCATCCACCTTTTCTTCCAGTTGTATATGACGCAAATATATAATTGGAAGAGTTTGTGTTCTTGCATAATTTTCCACTGGTCAGTTTTCATGCAGAGACCCTCAGAGTGTCTTCTGATTATGGCAGGCTTGTTCTGCACAGTTTGAAACTTACTCAACACTTCCCACTTCTGTCAGTATTCTTTTATTCCTCCCCTTTCCCTATGGCTTTAAAACAAGCAAACATGCCTGCTTTAGTTTTATGTTATTTTGCACTGCATCAATGATGCAGAAAAATGATACAAGATGTGACGCACAGACATCAGTGTTCCTGACCCCGAAACCCTTGTTTTACACAATGCCTCTGTGGCTTGTTCTCTTTACTCAGCCCTGACTAAGGCAAGAGAAGACGCTCTTGTTGAGAAGTGTCAGGATGTGAAGCACTTCCCGTGTATTTCCTTCCCATGCCACCGGAAAGCCTATTGAAGATCAGTGAGGTACTGACGCTTAACAGTCAGAAAGGTAAAGCTAGTTTTGCGTATTTAGGTGACGTATGTGCCCTAGGTCAGATGACCTGTTTGTCAGTATTTGTTTGTTTGAGTAGAGCACACAAACCATTTAAAAGACACAAAGTCACATAAAACTTCCTCACAAAAGCTCAAGCATTCAAGCATTTTATTTTTTTATGTACTGTTCTTCATTTCCTTGGTTTTGTAAGTCTCATTATTGCTCAACCTTTTACATCTGGGAGACAAAGGTAGTTTCAGCTGAACTGGAAGCGGGCATATGGGAGTATGTTAAGGTCAACATTTCTGGCACACAGCAAAATCTTTCATAAGTTGAACTCGTGAACATATGAGGAGAATACAAACTTGACATTATCAGAAATTGTCCTTTGTCACGTGTAGCAAGGAGCAGGAGATGTTTTGCATCAGTTTTGTTTTTCTTTATTTCTATAGTGCCAAATCACAACAACGTTCACCTCGTGGTCCTTTTATATTGAAAGGTAAAGACCCTACAATTACACAAAAACCCCCAACAATCAGGTTAAAGATATTCCATGCAGCTGATTCTGACATTTGCACGCACAATCACTTTCATTGGGTAATTTCTAGGAAAATTTCTAGATCTGGCATAAATTCGAGCATGGTACAGCAAAAGGAAACCAACCAGCAACAAGTCAGTTTGTGAAAGCTTTTCCTACATAGATATTCAACAATTAACTATAAGTGTTACTGCAAGATAAAAGCGCTTATGAACCAAATAAGTCCGACCATGTAAAGTTAGAGTGCAGTCTCACTGAGTGCTGAGGTGCATTGTGTGAAAAAGTCACCAAGACTCTGCTGAGACCCAGTAACTGCTGAGTTAAAACCTTCTCTGCCATTCACATCAGCACAAAAGCTGTGTACTGGGAACTTCATGACATGGGTTTCTATCGCCAAACAGGTCCTCTAGGAGCATATGTATAGGTGACCCTGTAATTTTGATCATATGGTGTTGTACTTGGAGTTTGCTATAAAAATATAAAAGGACTGGAATGGTTGTGCATTGGTCATGCACAACTAGATCCACCTACATGGTGGATCTGTGTATTGTCACCAGGGGATAGTATCAAAATATGCAGAAAACAAATGAGCTACGCTTATTTGTTTGGGCTGTTGTTTGTGCTTTAGCTTAGCCTCCACTACAGAGAAGGCAGAGGTCATAATGTACGTGTGTTGTTTTGCGTGGTGAACTCTGCTCTTGCGTTCCACCTATGCAAGCTATCTGTGCCTTCAGGCAGCACAGTGTTGTCTTTATTTTTTCTTTGTTTATGGAGTACTGCACATAAGCATGTTGTTATATTGAGCTATACTAAGCCAGTAAATCCGTACTTAAAGCATAATTAGCTTGTATTTTACTTGACACCCGAACTATAGCATGTGAACTGCATGTGACCTACAGTTCAGTGCTGTGTCTGAACTCTTTCTACACGTAGCATGGGGCTCTGGAGCCGATCTATCCTGGCAATGTGCTGCTCACGCTGTAGATTCTGTGTAGATGCCGCATAAGTCTGGTTATGCATTTTTAAATCGCCGTGCTTTGAGTGCACTGGACCAGATTATCATATCTACAAAATGTCCTATAGACTAAAGACACAAATCAACCTTTGGGAAGGCATGCCCTGATGGATGTTACCAGGCGGGGCGATATGTTTGTCTGAGTCATGCATTTGTTACTGACTTATTTTAATTTGTTCTCCTTTTCATCCTTAACTCTGATTTTTGTCTTTTCCTTCTGCCTACCATACCTTCTGATCTTTAAAATTGTGTCTGTGTTGTGCTGTTAGATGCTTTCAAGAAAAAAAGACCAAAAAACTCCCCAAAACAATGCCTTACTTTGTTTTACTCCTGTCAAGCTTCCCTTATTGATTTAGACACATTGTCTGGCCTTGATAAAACACCCTGCTCGTATCAGACAAGGCTTGTCTGTCGTGCCAGTCAGTGTATTTAGCTTGTAAATAACTTCGTAATTTCCACTTCTCTGCAGGATTGACAAAACTTTGCTGAGAGAAGAGTATGACAGGATAAAAGGACAAAATAAACACATCCAAGCCTGATTTAACTCTAACCTGGAGAAGATGAATCTGAATAATTTGGATTCCACCTCCGAACAAGTTATTTGTAAATTAAGATAAATGTGCATGGAAAAAGAGCAAAAGTGTGATCTCACTGCAGAGTCTGTCTGCTCTCAGAGGCGACAAAATCCAAATAATCTTCTGCTCTGTCTTAGCTTTTTATTTAAATAGTGACACAGTCAATCAGTGTCATCAGTATGCCATGCTGTATTACCCTCTCAGGACTAATTAGAAATTATAATCAGGCGTTAAATAAATAAATACCCAGAGAGAACTGTGCCTTTTTAATTCTAGGATGGAAGCATGAAGAGATTGATACTGTTCATTTATTCAGTGGACAACAACACTGCAGCAAAACTGCATCATTTTTTTGTACTTATCTTCAGTCTGACACACATTAGCTACTGTGCCAGGTATGAGGATTAGGTGGGAAGGGCACCTCCAGTGTGTGTGTGTGTGTGTGTGTGTGTGTGTCTACATGTGTGGACAGTGATGTGACGTCAAGTCTAGACGGGCCATTTCACAGTGTGCATTCATGTCACGCAGGGACAGCTGATGAAGTGACCCTAATAGTCACAACACACTGCTGTTGTTCTGTAGCGATGTGGCTGGAGTTAAGAATTTAGACATTTGATTTGAACAACAGCGGTGCATCTTTGTACATGCAGAGGTGTTGTTAATACGGGCTGTAGACTATTTGAAACAAGGCTTTACATTACTTTGTTATTTTTCATTACTATACATACGCTATTGGTGATAGTTAATGAATATTGATTTGGTGTATGATGTTTAAGTTTGACCTTTTTATTTCTAGATTAGCATGTGTGTCTGTGTGATCATGTTAATGACTGTATACAGGTGCTGCATGCATCATTATTATCATATAGTTGAAAAAGAAATCTGAAAAAAGGCCTTAATTCTTAAAGTTCCTCTTTCCAAGGTAAAACATAGTGCAACCATAACATCTTAGTAAGTAATAATAATGGTTGTTTATTTAAAAAAAATACTACAAAAGTAGTTTATTTA